TGTTTGCAATAAAAGATTTAAATGAAGTATTCTTAATCTTGAGGGTGTAGGTGTAGTCTCTAAAGAACTAACTGTTTCTTTTTGTCGTATTACGAACATGTATTTCGAAAATACAAGCATATATGAATGAAACAAATAATGATTCAATGCTGGTATATTCTTTTTCTTCGTTTACCTTTCTTTGTCGACATTTTGTCAAGAATAGAAAGAGAACAGATACATTACACAAATAATGACAAAATAAAAAAATCGCTTATGAAGGTTATTTTCAAGAGAGAAAAAATATCATATTTATGTTTGTTTTTTTTCTTTCATTCGTAATTATACGTATTTATCCAACGTTTTCTTCGATGACAAGATGATATATTTTCAAAGGCATTGACGAAAAGAGTATTATCAAGTGAGAATCATTCTTTCATTTCTTATTTGTAAGATATTACTAGTGTTTTAATCTATACAATGATGATATAAAGAATGAAAAGAAAGTGTTACATATATAGAAGATATATTAATATGGGTACTAGCACAACTGAGTCAAAGCTTTCGACTTCATCTTTCTGTTCTACGTAGGTCTCAGTAAGATTAAGTTAATTCTAATAAGCATTCATGAGTGTGGAAATCGATTTCCAACTTAAGTTTATATTTATAAAAGTAGATAAGAAGATTATTTATTTCTCCTACCAACTTCTATTCAGCGACGTGACAATGGCAAATAAGAAAACACTATGTTTTAAATGTAATAAAAATAAAATAACATATCCTTGTGAAGGATGCTCAAAATACTTTTGTTTAATGGATTTAACAGAACATCGTCAAATATTAAATGAAGAACTGAATTATGTTATTAATGATTATGATCAATTTAAACAAAGAATAAATGAACGAAAACAAAATCCACAGGATCATTCATTAATAAAACAAATTAATCTATGGGAAATAAAATCAATTGAGAAAATTCAAGAAAAAGCACAAGAGTACAGAGAAATGCTCATGAAATCATCACAAACATGTATTGATGATATTGAAATGAAACTTAATGATTTACATAAAAAAATAAAACAATTTCAAAACGAAAACGAATTTAATGAAATTAACTTAAATCAGTTAAGAAAGAAAGTAATAGAAATTGCAAAAGAATTCAGTAATCCATCAAACATGTCTATTCAACAAAATTCACGATCATTAATTAATGAAATTTCAATTATTTTATCAAAAAGTAAGTTTTTAAGAAATAATTTCTAAAAGAATAATTCTCATTTTCTAGAATCAACATTCACCAAATGGAAACAAAATGGCATCACTGTAGCTGGTGGAAATGGAGAAGGGCAAAAATTAAATCAACTTAATCGTCCAGGAGGGATTCTTATTGATAAAAAGAAAAATATTTTCATTGCTGATTATGCAAATCATCGTATTGTTGAATGGAAATATAATGCAAAAGAAGGACAAATCATTGCAGGTGGAAATAAACAAGGAAATCGAATGAATCAATTGAATCGACCAACAGATCTGATTGTTAATCAACAAAATTATTCAATCATCATTGCTGATTTTGGAAACAAGCGAGTGGTTCAATGGTTGAATCAAAAGCAACAGATACTCATTGATAATATTGATTGTTCTCGTTTGGCAATTGATAAATATGGATTTCTTTATGTTTCCGATGATAGAAAGAGTGAAGTGAGACGATGGAAAATGGGAAAATACAACAACGAAGGAGTTATAGTGGCAGGTGGAAATGGTGAAGGAGATCAATTTAATCAACTTGCTCTTCCTAGTTTTATCTTTGTTGATGAAGATCAATCTGTTTATGTATCAGATAGATACAATCATCGTGTGATGAAATGGAGAAAAGATGCAAAAGAAGGAATTGTTGTGGCTGGAGGAAATGGTCAAGGAAAAAATCTCAATCAATTGTCTTATCCTGCAGGAGTAGTTGTTGATGATTTGGGTCAAATCTATGTGGCAGATGGTGAGAATCATCGAATAATGCGTTGGTGTGAAGGAAAAGAAAAAGGTGAAATTATTATTGGTGGAAATGGTAAAGGAAGTAAATCAAATCAATTGAATGGTCCCATTGGTTTATCTTTTGATGATGAAGGAAATCTTTATGTTGCTGATTGGGGGAATGATCGAGTTGCAAAATTCGAAATAATTTTGTGAATGAATTTTAGATTTAAAAAGAAAAGAAAACAAATAAAAATGGACAAAAAAATGAAATGAAATTTAAAGACTAGATGGCCTTTTTTCTCGACGTACATATTGAAAGTTGTCATTTTGTATCGCGATTATCTCAGGAACGGAACATCAGAAGATATTCGTTTAAATACGAGATGAATATATCAAAATCGAACTGACATCATTCGTTTGTCGATTTTGAACAGCATGTTTAGATCGTTTACAAGAAGTGTCGCAAAACATCATTTTGACTATGGACTTTGTATTTTTTTCACATTTGGAGATTTGTGATAGAATATTCATATTTATATATTATATTACGGGTACCACTGTTAATTGGGTCTAACTGTAAAATCAAACATTATATAAATCAATAAATAAAAACATTTCAAAAATTTAAATAGAAGATCATTTACTTTTCTATGGTAGAATTGTTTTAATGAATGTCATTGAATTACAAAGAAATAAAAATGATTAGTTTAATATTGGTTGTTATTGTCGTTAAATAATTCTTTTGTTCGAATTTATTATTACTTCATCACCAACATATAAAAATGTTATTGAACATTATTTCTACTACAAATTAATTTTATTTTCATTCATCAAGTGATAACTATTAACACTTTGAAAATTTAATTTTTTGCATTTCTTTAGAGTATTTTCGCGTATAAAATGCATCATAAAAAAACTTTATAGATTTTTAAAGGAATGGAAAAGTTAAAAAATATGAATGAAATTGGAAAAAAAGCAACTTTACTTTAATATTATAAAACATTATTTGATGTTTCTATGGAGGAATATATTAATAGATCATGAATAGAAAGAATCTTTTTATTGAGTGTGATTATTATCTTAATAATTTCTAAGGTATTCCTTATTACGCAAAAGATGATTGATGATATAATCTATTGAAATAGTTACATTACACAATCAAGTACGTATCTAAAAAATAGAATATTTTTTTTCTGTATGAAAACGTGAGAAATTAATTTAATTTTGAAAACTAACTTTTAAATTGTAGATTAGTCTTAACTTGTAATTGTAAATAAAGTAATCTTGTATATCAAGACAACATATTATTTATATGAAATAGTTTGAAGGCATTAACTATGAATGTATGACTAAAATTTCGCTAATGCATAATTAAGAATGAGAAGAAATTTCATCATGTTCACTTTTTTTAATATGTAAGTTAGTTCAATCTTTTAAGAAAAAATATACATGTTATTCATCTATACATGTAATTTTATATGTAAAAATATAGAATATAAATGACTTTTATCACTCTTAATTTTCTTGCTAGAAACAGAGGATAAAGTTTATTAATTATAATGAATACATTAGTAATTATTTTTGAATTTCATGTTTAGGTTAAATCAAATAAAAGTTGAAATAATGTATTAGATGAGTTTATCTTAATTATTTAGGTCATAAAAGAAAATAGTTAACTCAATGAATTCTACTAATTATATAAGCTTTATCAGAATCCAACTAATCATTGAAACTACAATTCATTCAGTTAATTCAATACTCATCATCATGCATGTGATCTAAACAGCTAAGTTTAGTATTTTAAATTAATACAAATCATCTAGAACAAGACTAATCTTATCTTGATTTCGATTAATTCTTCAGGGTGTAGATTGATCTTGACATTGCGAATATCAGCCTGCATCACTATATATACTAATTAAAAGTATCTCTAGTTGATATAGTATAAACACGATTAATTTTGTTTTTTTATCTATTCCTTCACTCTTTATCGATGCATTTGCTTTTCAAAACAAAATATTGCAACTGTTCATCAAATCAATGACTTATAATAAAATAAAAATGCGTACTGTTTATTAATTCATTTTAGATGACCTTCTACAAATGAAGTAAAATAAATAAAATATTTAGTAGTCTTCATCATCTACGACGGCAACCTGAAAAAGAGTACAATAATGAAAAATAGATAAAACTAGAATGTTATTTATTAAATTGTCCCTTATCGTATAGTCGTAGGTCTCTGTTGTTTGTCGTAAACGATCGTTGACTATTGTTCATGTTCGATCTCAAAATATAGAAGTAGAGAATAACACTGAATCATTTTTATTAAATGTAAATATCGTGAGTAGAACTATATTAATTTAGTGATTCGAAAACTTAATAAATATCTAGAATGTTAGTTTGTTGTTAAGATTAGTTGTTTTTTTGCGTACATTCAAATTTAGCTGATCTATTTCTATAACTTATAGTGCCCTTTGCAAAACACCTAAGTGTCGTGCTCATTAAAAAATAACAAATTATTGTAAGATGTCTGTTCAAACAATTCGTCTCTTAGTCTAAATCCGAGATCAGAGGACTATAATTGACTTTTCTGCGTTATAAAATAAATAGTAATTCATCATATCTTTAAAATATCTGAATAGATTAATACATCATGAATAAGTGATTATTCTTTTCATTTAATTCTAACTAATGGTGAATACTCATTGATTGATTCAATTAAAACATGTATTGACGACATATCGGTATATACATTGCAGTTTTTAAACTTTTTCTTCATCATACGAGGTCTCGTTGGACACTTACAATTCAAATTCATATAAGTTATTCTTCTTTTATTACAAGGTAAACTCTCCTAAAGAATTTGAAAGGTAAATATGTCTAAGAAGATCATCTATATACATACGTATGTATGTGTGTTACCTTATCAGTCGGCTTTGTTCACTGCGTTTTGATTATTTACAAAGTTCTCTGTACGCGCACAAGAGTTACGAAAAAATAGAATTATTTTTAAAACAAGTGAACAAAATATTCTTTCATTTATTTATCAACTATTCTTTATGATTTTTTTTTACAACGTCAATGCTCTCTTTCACAATTTTTATATTAGGATGAGTTGGAGGTAATGCACGCTGGAATATGGCCAGAGCCCGTTCATAATATGATAGTGCTTTCGAATAGTCTTTCATATTTTGATACACAAAACCAATGTTGTTGTATGAAGTAGCCAACGCAGGATGATTTGAAGGAAGACTTTTTTCTTCAATTTCAAGTGCTTTTTCGTAAAATGAAAGTGCTTTCGAGTACCCTTCCATGTTATTATACGCCAAACCGATGTTGTTGTATGAAGTAGCCAAATGAGGATGATTTGGAGAAAGAGTTTTTTGCCAAATTTCAAGTGCTTTTTCGTAAAATGAAAGTGCTTTCGCGTACTCTCCCATTTGTCTGTACGCCTCGCCCATGTTGTTGTATGAAGTAGCCAAATCAGGATGATTTGAAGGAAGAGTTTTTTGTCGAATTTCAAGTGCTTTTTCGTAATATGAAAGTGCTTTCGAATGCTCTTCCATGTTATTATACACCAAACCGATGTTATTGTATGAAGTAGCCAACGAAGGATGATTTGAAGGAAGGGTTTTTTGTTGAATTTCAAGTGCTTTTTCGTGAGATGAAAGTGCTTTCGAATACTCTCCCATGCTGTCATACACATTACCGATGTTGTTGTATGAAGTAGCCAAGTCAGGATGATTTGAAGGAAGACTTTTTTCTTCAATTTCAAGTGCTTTTTCGTAATATGAAAGTGCTTTCGAGTACTCTCCCATGTTTTTATACACCAGACCGATGTTGCTGTATGAAGTAGCCAAATGAGGATGATTTGAAGGAAGACTTTTTTCTCGAATTTCAAGTGCTTTTTCGTAATATGAAAGTGCTTTTGAGTACTCTCCCATGTTTTTATACACCGCACCGATGCTGTTGTACGAAGTAGCTAACGAAGGATGATTTGAAGATAGGGTTTTTTCTTTAATTTCAAGGGATTTTTCATAATACCAAATAGCCTTTTTATAATCACCCTGGTTATTTTTGACATATCCCAACTGATTACAATAAATCGCTTTTTCACTCTCATCAGATGTCTGTTCGAGTAATACATTGTAAAGTTCTTCTGCTTTATTAAATTGACCAACTGTAAGCAATAATTTGCCTAATCTTTTCCATCCGATGCCACCACCAGCTTCTTCTCGTATCCGATCAGTAAGTAATCGTAGTTGTTGGTCATCATCTGATGTTAATTTTAATTCAACTTGATAAAGTTGATTGTTATTGTCCATTTGTTTAATTGCATTCACTCGAAACACAGTGTGCATTGAGAAGAGAATTTCTTCTTCTTGTGCCTTGAAATAACTAAGTTCAGTGATACAGGCAAATGGTGTTGATTTAGTACAAGTATCAATCGAAATTATAAAAAGAATGCCAACCGTATCAGGTTTTGATGAAGCACGTCCAGCAAAGTCGAGGGACACTTCTTTATCTTTACTCGTGGACAAGAAATTGTTAAATGATATAAGTCCACTTTTTGCTTTCTGAAGTTTTTCAAAGTCTGTTTTCATAAGACCTTGTCCTCGATAAACTATAAAAGGTTTTCTTCCATAACTACTGACCTGTTGTTCATGCAGCTGTTTAATCTGTTGATGTACATCACGTAAGAAGAAGCCCATATTAATGATTATATCGGCATCCATAAGTCGAAGTGCTTGATTAAGCATTTTGTAGGTAAAGCACTCACGTGTATACCACCAGATTGCTTGCTGTGGATTATAGTCACGTTCGAATTCATTAATAATTTGTAATTCAATTGTATTGCCACTAAAAACTTCACGGCAGCAAACTGCTAAATCCTTAATTGCCGCATCACTATATTCCATATCAAGAAGAATCTCCTTGAATAGCTGAGTATACATAAAAGTTGGCTCCAACTGATTTAAGTTCTCAGTTGAAGCCATTTCATTTACCGCGAGAAAACTTACGGCTATTGTGTCTTGATCACATTGTTTAACCGCCACTTGTAATGCCTGGCAGATATCTTTGATATTTGTATGGACACCTTTGATTTTTGTCCATTTTTGTACCCATCCTTCATGTCTGGATTTGTTGCCACAGAAGATGTAAATTGCATCTAACTGTGGCATGCCATGAATTTCAGGAACCAAGCATTGACCTAATGAGCCTGATGTTATCACAAAGGCTCGTTCTTTGTCAATCTTCTTGAGTACTTGAATGCATTGATTTGGTTCAGAGAATAAGCTGACATCATTGACCACGTTCTTCAATTGAGCCAGTGTATTTTGGTAGTCCTTGTCTGCTTGGTCGATACTGGCATCTATCCAGATGAGAAGGTAACTTTGTGCCATACGTTGTCGTGGTTGGCGAATATTTGATGATGCTGTAGCATTTTGATTTAATTTTGATCCGCTCATTTTGATCGTATTGGATGATGCAGCAGCATTTTGAGTTGATTTTGATTCAGTCATTTTGATCTTGTTAGATGATGCAGTAGCGTTGAGGGTTGATTTTGATCCACTCATTTTAATCTTATTGAATGATGCAGCAGCATTTTGAGTTGATTTTGATTCAGTCATTTTGATCTTGTTGGACGATGCAGCAGCATTTTGAGTTGATTTTGATTCAGTCATTTTGATCTTGTTGGATGATGCAGCAGCATTTTGAGTTGATTTTGATTCAGTCATTTTGATCTTGTTGGACGATGCAGCAGCATTTTGAGTTGATTTTGATCCACTCATTTTGGTCTTGTGATAATTTTTAGTTGAAGATGAACTTATGGTGATAACTGTATGTAGTTGCAGAACTGAAGTATTAGTGGTTAAGAAAACAAAGAAACATCATTATTTATATAAGAAACAGATCTCTTTATCTCAATATTTTTATGGCGTCATTGATTGTCTTCTTTTATTTATTTTGAGTAGCTACAACAGAACTTTGTTCTTTGCATTATTTCATGTACGTTATACAGCCAGGTAAGTATAAAGAACAGAAAAAAAGAAATTATTTTTTCCAACTTTCTTCACACATAAGAAATAACATCGTCACTAACAAAAAAAACATATTTGCTTTTTAAGTAATGCACATTAAAAACCTGCAACAGTGGCTCTACTTTAAAATGCTTGACGGTGGATGTGGGTGCGAATCCATCTTTTCTTTACTCACACCCTGGTCTTTGGTCCTTATAATGACTGTAGTAACCTTAAAGCTGCATTGTACATTTTCTGTTTCTTCATACTACATTCCGTATATTCTGAGGTTTTATGTGTAGTCTGACATCATCTACTATAAAATTCTGCTAATTCTAATTTTCTAGAATTCGGTTCAGTGTGCACCTCGTTATATGAAAATATTGTTAAGAAGGTATAGACAATATTTATGTTATTTGTATATGTATATGGACGAGGCTACAGGTAAAACTTTATGAGAGTTCTAGAATATTAGAAGAGGATCACATCCCATATTGAACTCATTGTTTGATAAATTAATCATTTATTCAATATTAAAATTATAATACTAACTAGCAGAAATATCCCGCCGTTGTCAGGAAAATCCAGGTAATGAATGCCGGTAAGATATATTAATGATTTCACCATTGTCAAAACCTTTGATGTGGATTTGGGTGTGAGTGGACGTGGGTATTGTTCTCATCTCATATCTATACCCACGTTCACACCCACACCCTCAATATATGCATTGATTAGCAAATGAAAATAATACAAACAATACATTTTTCTGTTAATCAACAAATTAATAAAGAATAATATTAAGAGACACTTAATTATAATAATATCAGATAATTATTTGTCATTAATATTTGATTCAATGAAAACAAATCAGAAATATCTATCGTAGTGATATTCAAGGATCCTTTTCAATTTTATAAATATTTCTGATCGATAAGATTTCATTTATTTCAGAACATAAAATTTGTAGATTATTCAAATTTTATAATGCTCTTTATAGAAATTATTTTACTATCGTTCACAGTGATGATACTCTGAGGGAGACTTATGAAAAAGCTATTCTTCTTTAGTTATTAGAATATTATCATCTGCCGACTGAGCTTTTAGATTTATTGAACAACATATATTGCAATATTTCCCCGAAAGAATAAAAGCGAAATACACATCCAAGTATCATAAATCTTATCTACAATAACAAACATCGTGTCTCTCCGCGAAAAAGAAAAGATGTTAAAATAGCGTCATTTGTTGTTAGTCAAATATAGACTTTTTCTTTTTCATCCTTTTATTTGATATTGATAAAAGCATATTTGTTTTAAATTTCCAACATGATGTTATAGAACTAATTATTACATGATCTATCAACTCAAACAACGTTTCAATATTAACTTGCATAGATTATTTAGATCATACATACATACACTATCAATAACAATTCTAATCTCGATACCAATAATTGTAAATGAGAGAAAACCTGTTAGATGAGCATCGTGACTTTGTTTTGAACAACCCAGTGCGTATCTAATATTTTAACCAGATGGCTTCAATCAACTTCAAATATCCAGAATAGCAGCTTGTAGATGAGTAGATTTCGAGTCATACCTCAGCATTATCTAGTATGAGACACGAGATATTGAAAACGAAAATCAGTCATTTTAGGATCATTTTCTCCAAGCAAAGTCTGAATTAAAAAAGAACAAAACTAAACAAGATACAATGTAATTTCTATCTCTACCACATTATATTGTATTATTCAAAAGTTTAAAAATTTATGATAAAGCACAATGAGTTTTGAACATTTTACTCGAATACGTTTATAAATGTGTGTTGAAAGTGAAATTATGTAAAATAAAACTATATTATTACAATCACAGGATTTTCTTTTTATCATGTATATTTCATCATAGTATATTCAATATTGATAACAATCAATCGTTGCTGCTAATGAAAAATTCAATCCTAAATTAGCTACTCGTGAAGTTTCGAGATAATTAAAACGAAAAGAAAAAGAAAAAGTTAGGCGTCACTTCTTTCTAACAAATGTTTTACAGCTGATGACAGATAAAGAATTAGCTAAATAATTAAAAAATGAATTATCAGTGTTCTCTTAACATATGATAGTTTGAATTCTCGATTTTGATGATATAAATTTGACTTTATTCTCCTATAATCGTGAATGTTGAGAATTTTGTGAAAACTTAATAATAAAAATCGAAATGAAATGAATTTTATTGAGCGAAACAAATGCTGAAAAACATTTTTGTTTAATAAATTAACAAATTTCATCATTTTCAAATTTTATTTTGTCTGATTTGGAAAAAATTTGATTTGAAATAAAAATTTATATCTATTATAGAAAACTTGTTATTAAAATCTCTTTAATCTCTCTCAAAATTCTTCAACATAGTTCTGGTGATTTAATAACTAAAAAGATATTTTATAATTTATTAATTAAATTTTATTCAATTACTAGCATCTAGAATTGATTAATTATTCAACCCTATCTACTGAATATTATGACATCACTGATTCTTAACGAGCTAGAAACAGAATACTGCATGACATGTAGTGACATCTAATTTAAATCATAATCTTATGATTTAATCATAAGATAATAAATGATATTCAATAAATTTTCAAGCTTTTCTTATTTCTTAATTCTTTTGACATTAAAGACAGTTGATTTCGTTATTACATTTCATATCCATGACAATGAAGTCTGAAATGGTATTCAAATCGGACTAACATTTTGTTAACCACTAGCTACTTAAAATGGAAGGTGAAACTGCCGTAGTATCAACAGGAGATATCGAATATAAACGCAATATATCGTCTCCATTCAATCCTAATTATTCCCATCAACAATCTCGAACTACACCAACTAATATACATTCAAATACAAATATTAGTATCTCGAAACGAGGACTAAGCGCAGAAGAACGACATACTCTACCAGAAATACCTCGTAACCCATTAACAGCTAGTGTTGCGCATGTTGTCTCAAGAGAACTCGGGTAAATTAGCTTCTATATTAATTTTCTAAAATACAACTAAATTGTTTATTGTAGAGAAAATTTTCTTAAAACTCCAATACGTCCAGAAACAGTTAAAAAATTAGTTGTATCAGGAAATGTTGATGATTTTTCACATCGTGCATATGTTCAACATTTACGTGAAATTCAAGCTAAAAGAGAATATCAATTACAAAAAATTGGACATGATGAACAAGCATTTCTATTAGCTGATATTCAAGCACATGAAAATGATGATACTGAAGACAGTAAGATATTAACTTCTATGTATATATATATATAAATAAATTTTTCATTTGATAGAAACACATCTATCAAGTTTATATATTAATGAAGAAGCATTGACAAGAGATCAAGTTATATTACCACGAGATTTTCTTAGTTTTAATCTTCAAAAACATTTTAAACAAGAAAAAGAATCAAAAGATGGTGAAAAACAAGAGACTGATACTGATAAAAAATTGGTATATTAACTTTTATTGAAGAAATGATATATATCTAATTGTTATATATTTAGCCTAAACTTACTCGTCAAATGAAATCGAAAAGTTTCAATTCTATATGGAAAGATCAAATAAGTGTAGCAGAAAGAGACTTTAGTCGTGGACGTTTACAAATGATTGATAATTTCACTACTTATAATATCAATCCACGATACGATGAAACTCGATCTAATCAACTTATCACAAAAATACCTCCGAATAAGTAAGATAATCAATCAAACAAATTATTTCTATATTTATATCTATATTTTAGACCTCCTGCTCTATTACCTGTATTCGAAGCTATTCCATCTGAAATTATTTTTACTCGATATCGAGTTGGCGATGTACATGAAACAACACTCAATTTAAGAAATTTAAGTAGTGTTGCACATAGTTGTCGAGTTATACCACCAAAGACACCAAATTTTTGTGTTAGTCTTTCACAATATCCATCCGGTCATTCACTTGTAGCTACTGGATTAAGCGTGGTTTATAATGTTAAATTTGCACCAGATACATTAGGTGTTTTTGAAGATGAAATTATTGTACAATGTTCAAATGGAACAGAATTTTCAGTTAAATTATTAGCTAAAAGACCACCACCAGTACTAACACGTAAGCAACAAAATATTTGACAAGTTAAAAAACACTCGATCAATTCTTTTTTTTCCTTATTTAGTTCCAGCATTAGTTGATTGTGGATATTGGTTAGCTGGAGGACGTAAAATATGTGAATTTAAAATACGAAATGATGGCGGTGAAGGACGTTTTGCGTTAGTTCCTGCTACATCATGGCCAGCAGTTAATTTTAAGGTATGAAAAGAAAAGAATATATTCTTTTGAATAATAAAGTAATGTTTTATTTAGGCTGTAATTCGTAGTGATACTGTTCATATACCTCCATTTGATATAGCTTCTCCAACACTTGACCTTCG